CCTTACCCAGGTGTGTCAAGTTCACAGCTGAAGCCATCCAGCACAGCCCATAAGTGACATATAAGATGAACAGGTACACTTGTTGGTTTGTGATCTCTTTGAAGAACTACTACTATTTAAAACTGCTATACTTTATTATCAAAAGAAATTTATAGTCACAGTGTCCTGTGAAAGAGTCACATCTAGGTGGAACACAGGTCAAAGGCGACAAGACAAACTTCTAAGAAATAACCTTTGACATTGTATGTGAAGCTCTGCTTCCAGTTTCTAGAAGAACTGATTTTTAATAAAATAACCCAGATCAAAATAAGAAGGAACCATCAGCATTATTTCAATATATTTGGTTGTTTACAACATCTTAGCAGGATTGTGTGTTAATATGTAAATACTAGATAGCTGAGTAATCTGAAAAATACATTAATCAAATTATAATTAATGTACATATTTCTAGTCTTTCTACAAACAATATAAGGATGAATTCAACAGTCCTTCCATTTTTTAACATGATCAATAGGAAATTATTATTGCTGTCAAATGATTTCATGAAATTTACTCAGAGTAAAAAAAAGGAAACCATGAAGCTGTTGGATGCTCAATATCAACTCCTACCTTCTAAATTTGGTGGCGTTCCCATACAATGAGTCTGGCTTTGCAAGTCAAAAACCAGGCGGGTGCTTTTACGAGCCTCCCTGGCAGTGCACACCCTGGGCTCTCACCATGCTAAGCTTCATTCAGTAGAGGGAAGCATTAAAAGAAGAAATCTGCTTCCTGTGAGAGTGGTAGGAAGTAGACAGGTGAGGTTATAGAAATTCTAGAGCCGAGAGCCCAGAACTATGGCATGACTTGGGGAGCCTCTGAATTCTGCAGTAGCTGTGGATAGAGGCAACTCGTCCATAGAGCAGCCTTGTGGTAGGAGCTAGGTTTACTCATGGCTATAAACTACAAACCTGTTTTTCGAGGTCTCCTTGAGATACTGCACATTGGCAATTTCTTTAAATAAATTCATTTGCTCTTTTAGCCAACTAAAGAGAATTCTGTTGTTTGCAATCAAATCCTACCTCAGATAGAAAGTACCACCATAAACAACAAAACAAGCCAAAAGATACATACATTTTTGCCACACTAAGCCATTGTAAAAATAAACATTCAATCCAAAATAAATCTTTATGATTGTGAGGAAAATTATTTTAGAAGAAACAAACTAGTATGACATGCCCATAATACCCCAAAGACATGGCTAATTAAAAAAATATAGCAGAGACCTTCCTGTTTATTGGAGTATAGGTTTCCAAAGTATGCCCCTTCTCAGAATTTCATTTGTATTTGGTGCAATCTGTTCCTTTTCATCTCTAAATTTCTTGAGTCTTTTTCTCTTTCCTTTGTATCATTTGGTAAAGGTTTTTCAGTCTGAAGAATCAAATCTTTGCTTTATTGATTCTTTGCTTATTCTTTTTCTTTCATTTTCATTAATTTATGCCCCAGTTTGTATAGTTTCTATCTATTAATTTGGGGTTTGATTTATTCTATGTTTTTCTAAGATCTTGATGTGTACCATTAAGATATTTGAGATGTCTCTGTTTTTAAGGCAGGCATTTGTACGTTCAAGCTTCCCTCTTAGAAGTACTTGTACTGTGTCCCACTGGTTCTGATGTGCTATGCTTCTGTTTCCACTCAATTCTAGGATTTTCAATTTCTCTCCTGATTTGCTCCCAATGCCCCACTTATTATTCAACAGTACATTGTTCAATCGTGGCGACTCTGCATATGCTCTGCAGTTGTTCATGCTGAACTGCAAAATTCGAAAATGGAAAAGGATAATTTCTAGACATATATGACTAACCAAAATTAAACTAAACATGTAAGCGTCAACAGACCTAGAACAAGCAATGACACTGAAATAGAAACAAAAAGCCCATGAACCAAAACACTTGGCACCGAGAGGGATTCGTCACTGAATTTTACCATAGCTTTAAAGAAAATAACACCAATCCCCATCAAGCTACTTCACAAAATAGAAAAGGAAAGAATACTGCCAAACTCGTTTTACAAAACCAATATAATCCTGATGCCAAAATCACTTAAGTGATACACACACAAATGAGATTGGAAACCAGTCTCCTTGATGACAATGGATGCGAAAATTCTCAGTAAAACACTTGCAAATCAAATACAACTATACACAGAAACAATGATTCACAGTTAAATAAAATTCCATTGTGTTTATCTGTACCACATTTTCATTATCCATTCATCTATCAAAGGGCATCTGGGCTGTCCCCATTTCCTAGCTATTGCAAATACAGCAGTGATGAACATGGATGAGCACGTGTCCCTGTAGTAGGACATAATCACAAGTGTGGGGAGGTGGGGATCCCAAAGGAGTTGGAGGTAGGGGAGCGGAGGAGGCAAATATTATCAAAAAACTTTGTATATGTGTATGAAACTCTCAAATAAAATTTAAAATATAATATAAACAAAATCATTCATTATGACCAAGCAGGCTTCTTTCCAGGGATGCAAGGGTGATGTAATACACAGAAATCAAAAAAATCTGACACACCACATTAATAGATGCTGGACAGACACCACATGATCACCAAGAGATACAAAGAGGAAAGCAAGCCAGGCATGGTGGCACACACCTGTAGTCCCAGCACTTGGGAGGCAGAGGCAGGCGGACCTCTGTGAGTTCAAGGCCAGCCTGCTCTACATAGTGAGTTCCAGGGCAGCTGGGGCTACAGGGAGACCCTGCTTCAAAAAGACAAAACAAACAAACAAACAAACAAACCAAACACCAAAAAAAAAAACAAACCAAAAAACAAATAGGAAAGCAAGAAATCAGCATGTCTGTTTGCAAACAATATGGTCCTGTACATAAGAGAGCCTACAGATCACACCAGAAAATTCCTAAAATGGAAAAACACTTCCCTTAAAGTAGAGGACACAAAAATCAACATTTCAAAAATCAGCAGCTTTCCTAAGGCATAGCAATAATGAACACATGAGGAAGAAACAGAAAGACAATCCATTCACAATAGCCTTGAAAAACAAACACAAACAAAAGACTCATAACAAAAACCACCTTCAGAAGCTCAAGCCAGACAGAACCCCAGCACAGAAGTGGGCAAAAAGCCACAACCTCAGCGGAGGAACTACTGGCAACTGACAGCTGCTGAGGTAGGGAGAGTGGGTTTCTCCCAGGGAATGATGCTAAATAGGTTAATTAGGCTCAGATGGATGGAACCCTACTGAAGGACATTTGGGGACAAAAATTTGACTTGATATATGACAGAGTACATGAAATCCAGTGGGGGACAGCTATGAGGGGTACGGATAGGGGAGGGGGTCTAAATACGAACAATATATATTGTGTGAAATTCAAAAAGTTCAGTAACAATAATAAGAATTATGGCAAGTAATCTCTTTTATTCTACCTCTCTAGAGCTCTTGTCACAGATTTTTTTTAAAAACATCATATTTCTGTCTTTTCTTTATTAGATAAGATTCAGAGATCTAAACTTACTCATGAGACCTCAGCCCTGGACAGTCAAGGCTGACCTCTAGGAAGGCCATTTCCACAACACACCCCACACTAGGGATTGAACTCAAGGAGCTCTGCTGCTGAGCTATGTCCCCACCCTTAGGAAGATAATGCTTTTTAATTTTTATTTATTATTTTTAGGTTTGTTTTCCCCCCCTTTTTTATAACCACATGATTAGATTTAATAACCACATAATTAGAAGAAGCATTTCATTACAGCTTTAACATATTCAATAACAATTTTTAGAGCAAGGATACATCTCTTTCAAAAGTGGCTGTAAATTTTTAGGTTCACAGTTTAATTATTACAGTTATACAATATTGTACTCAGTATAAACCCTGTAAGACATAAAATTGAATGAGTTTTTAATCTTTAAAAAAGATCTCTATTCCATTTTAAAATATGCTGTTTCTTATAGAAAAGGCTCATTTTTTTTTTTTCGGTCTTTTTTGAGACAGGGTCTCCCTGTAGCCCCAGCTGTTCTAGAACTCGCTATGTAGACCAGGCTGGCCTTGAACTCACAGAGAGCCACCTGCCTCTGCCTCCCGAGTGCTGGGATTAAAGGCGTGTGCCACCACACCTGGCAAAAGACTCATTTTTAATGCTACTAACATTTAGATGTTTGTACACGTGTCTCTAATCTCTATGTATCTGATTATTACTAGTCACAGTCAGTTACACTCTGATCCTTGGCACCTGAGTATGGATATAAAGTCATCAGGTAGATTTCACTGGTAATGTTTATGACCTCTACTAATTAACATGAAGTAAATTTTTATGCTTCCTCCTCAAATATAAGTCATTTTTTTATTTGATTTTTTTTGTGTGTGTGTATATCATACAAAACATCCCAAACAACATGGGGAAAAGGCAACCCTACTTCTGCTAGCAATGCAAAGTAGTCTAGCCATTTTAAAAATTGTTCTCAACTTAAAATTTTTTTTGAAATTATTTATTTAATAACCATATAATTAGAAAAAGCATTTCATTACAACAGCATTGACATATTCAATAACAATTCCAGAGCTAAGATGCATCTCTTTCAAAATTGGCTGTAAATTTTTAGGTTTGCAGTTGAATTGATACAGTTATACAATATTGTACTCTGTATAACCCCTATACTCAACTTAAAATTTTTTATGTCAGGGCTGGAGAGATGTTCAGCAGTTAAGAACACTGGCTGCTCTTGCAGAGGCCCCAGGTTTGAGTCCCAGCACGCACATGACAGTTAACAACCATCCATAATTACAGGCCTCTTCTGATCTCTGTGGCCATTGCATGGGTGCACTTACACACATGCAGGCAATACAACCCTTCACATAAAAAAATACAATATTTTTTAAAAGTCTATAACTTATATACTTTTATATCTTTTTATGTTTCTCTTAAAGAACCCCACACTAAGAAAAGAAAGAAAACTGCAACAGGGAACTTTAAACCCTTGAAAGTAAAACATACCATCTTTCTCAGCAGTTTCTTGAGGCTTTGATTTCAGTGTGAAGATCTTCCGTAGCTTACAGTTAGCTGAGACAGTAATTCCATCCAGTGACTGGAAAACTGCTCCCTTGAATATCTCACTGGTGAATGCGACCAAGTCAATGCACAGATTGCACCACTGTGATAAGAGAAGCAAAGGCATGTAAAACACTTCCGTATCACGGAAGAGGCAGAAGGTGGACAGAAGGCCACAGCGGGTGGAATCTAGAGAGTTGAGGCAGTTTGTTGAATCCACCAGCTCCAACCAGTTTTGGCCTTTCTCTGTTTTGACTTAAGTTCTCTTAAAAGTGACCCTGATTCTTCCCCAGAAATCGACACACTCTTAACTCTACACTGGTTACCTGACAATGGTGTTTCTATCATGAGACAAGGTGATGGCAGCTGTGGGAGATAATGCTCTTAACCGTGTGCACCGTGCTAACTGCAGGTACTCTATCTAGATCACTGAAATCTTCAGCATCAGAGGTAAGTAGCCAGTTTATCCTTTAAAAAGTCTAATTTGATCACAATTAGCCACTTAGTTTTGATTTTTAAAAGGTAGGGATGAAATTAGAAGCTTGGTCTAAATGATGCCCAGCACTGTCTACTTATAACCAATTAGCCTATTGTACAGACATAGATTCTTCTAAAGAATTCTTAATTATGCCTGTATTTGCCAGTTTTAAAGTACTCTTGCAGGTACTAATTTCTGTCTATTAAATAATTAGATTCTTCAATACTTCATCAAATGAATTCTATGGTCTTACTGAGTAAAAA